ATATATATATATATATATATGCAGGAGCAACATATGCTCCTCCGACTCTCAACGTATAGCACTATATGATATATGGTGATCGCTGATAGTGCACATCATTCGCTTCTATGTACCAGCGGCCTTGCCACGCTGCTAAACCCGACCAGCTCCAAAACATACGCTGTTAAGCTCTACCATTGACTGTTAACGGCTATCAGTGTCGTCTAGGCGCTTTCACTGCATCTACCCGCGGCTGCTAAGCCTACCAGCTTCAAAACCGACGCTGCCCGATGGACTGGGTTCTCCTTGATTTCGCCTGTGCATACGAAGATGTTGTGCTGCAGAATTGTTGACGCCCAGACAACATCCAGCCACTCGGCCAAATGCCCCTGCCGCACCCGATTTGCAATCGGTTGTGGCAGCCCGCTCAAGGAGAGCACCCAGCTCTGCACAAGAGACGCCTCCTGACGCATGCGCTCTGCATTCACAGCATAGCCCAGCGTTGTCCGCTTTTGCGCCCTCCATTCGGCGACTTCCGCAGCTGTGGCCGCACAGACCAGCCACATACAACTCCAGAAGCACCGGCCATCAGGTGGGACAGGCACTGCTGGATCGCTGCAGAAAGGGAGTCGCTCTGGCCTGTTCACCATGGCGGCACAAATCGGCACGCCATTCGGCAAGTCCACCATTGCCTGGCGAAAAGAGGTCGTCATGCTTCATGCTTTGGCATGCTCTGTGGCACAGCCTGGCACACCTCAAAACCCGAACATGCCAAAGAGATCCTGAGATCCGAATCAATGTTCTGATGGCCACTGTAGACAGGACACAAATCTTATTCTAAACAAAACAGAAGCTATTTTTAGTTCATGCTTACCAGTTTCAAGTCATCTGCCGTATTGCGGGCCTCTGGCGGATTCACGTGCATCTCTTCCTGACCAAGTGCATCCGCATCTGCTGAGTATGGTGGATGCAACTTCTGACGAAGGCAGCCACGCAAGACAAGTCGGACAAAGTTTCGACCTGCCGGTTGCTTGGCACCACGCGAAACATCAATTGACACTGTGGATCGATTTGGCCTCTACGTGCTGCGGAGAACTGACGATCTCCAAAACCGGCACCTGCAGAAAGGGCTTTCAGGCCCCTGACCAACCGCTCCCACAAAGCTTGTCGTTCAATCATGTGCCAAACGCTTGAATGCCAGGCTCAGGCCTTGCCGTTGGTTAAGCAAAACGCCTGAAAACCGGGCTCCAGCGTTACTTTCGGGACACACATAGGCAACAGAGCCCAATGCCCGGTTTTCGAGGCGTTGGTTGAGCAAAACGCCTGAAAACCGGGCTCCAGTCCTGCTTTCGGGACACACATAGGCAACAGAGCCCAATGCCCGGTTTTCGAACCGTTGGTTGAGCAAAACGCCTGAAAACCGGGCTCCAGTCCTGCTTTCGGTGCAGGAAAAGGCGCTGGAAAGAGGGAACGAAGGAAGAGCCCCGGCCTCGTCGCGGCAACGCTTCTTCGAATCGCGAACCATCGCTCTTTCCACTAAAAGGACTGGATAGGAACGACTGGACTGGGAACTGCTTTTCCGAAGCTGCTGGACTGCACGTCTGGACTAGATAGCTGCTGAACTGCCCTGTTGCAAAGCAAAAAGAAAAGGATCTGAGCCATCTCAAGTACTCAACATGGTAGCGCGAGAAGCAACATTTGTATCATTGATGTACTGTTCTTGTCAAGGCTTAACATATTTGACAAGGTATGAACTTCAGCTCCTGTATTTGTAGGTGTTTGTTTTTTGAAATTTTTGGGCTGCAACTGTGTGCCCGGACCTTCCCGCGCCCCCACCGCCCTCGCCACCCCTCACCGCCCTCACTGCCCTCACCTGCCTTTGCACCACCACCCTCACCGCTTGATCCTCGTGTGCCCGGACCCCCCCGCACCCCCACACCGCCCCCACCGCCCACACCGCCCTCACCGCCTCACCACCTCCACCACCGCCCCCACCGTTTTCACTACCACCATCTCCATTGCTGCCACCACCTCCATTCCCGCGCCCACACCGCCCTCACCACCCCCGTGTTCTGTCAGGTGAGAAACGCTGTGTTTGTAGGTGTTTAGAGTGTCCCCCAAACCCCCCCCGCACCCCGCACCCCCACCGCCCCCAGGCTGCCAATGTGTGCCCGGACCCCGCCCCGCGCCCCCACCGCCCCCACCGCCCTCACCGCCCACACCGCCCTCACCGCCCTCACCACCCCCACCACCTTCATCCACCGCCACCACCCCCACCATCTCCATTATACTGCCACGCCTGCACTGTGCCTCCACCGCTTTCACCGTTCTGCCGCCGTAGCACCACCCCCCACCGCCTCCACCACCGCTCTGTTGAAAGAGTTCTCACCGCTGTATTTGTAGGTGTTTTTTGAGATTTGTAGGCTGCCAATCCGGACCTTCCCGCGCCCCCACCGCCCTCACCGCCCTCACCACCCCCACCGCCCTCACTGTCCTCACCTGCCTGTGCACCACCACCCTCACCGCTTGATCCTCCCGCCCACCGCTCTGTTTAAAGAGTCTTTCACCGCTGTATGTGCAGGTGCAAAGAGAGCATTTAAAGGCTGCCAATGTGTGCCCGGACCCCCCCGCGCCCCCACCGCCCCCACCGCCCTCACCGCCCACACCGCCCCCACCGCCCTCACCACCTCCAGCACCCCCAGCCACCGCCCCCACCGTTTGCACCACCTCCACCATGTCCATTGCTGCCACCACCTTCACTGTGCCCGGACCGCTCTGATTGCCCCCACCGCTTCCGCCGCCCTCACAGCTCTTACCGCCCTCACCACCCCCACCACCTCCACCACCCCCAGTGTTCTGGCAGGGGAGTTAACCGCTGTGTTTGTAGGTGTTTAAAGAGTATTTAAAGGCTGCCAATGCCTTTTGCCTCTGAGTCACAAGGTTGCTGAAACATGCGCACACAATGTCCGAGAGCTGAGCACTGCGTCAGTCCGAATACTTCGCCGCATCAGTCTTGTGCTGATGCCACTCGTGCCAGTTACAAGACTTGCAGGCCCTATCTTCTTCTTTCATGTCACTTCCTCCGTATCAGGGTTGGCTGCTTTCAACATTTGCTGCCTTCCTTGGATAGTCACCTCTCTTCTTTTGCGGTCGGCGGCAGTGGCGGCAGCCCATAAATCGGGCAGCGCTTCGCTGCCCTGTATGGACTGAGCTATGGCTCAGACGAATGAGCTCCGTCTGCGAAGCAGAAGCCACGACCGACAGTGCCGCCGACCCGCCCCGGACCCCGCATCATCGGACCCTCGTTTCTCCCTCGGGCCGCGCGGGGCCTGGCCCGAAGGCGTCTCGGAACGCGCACGCGTTTTGCAGCCATTCCCCGCGGTGTGGCGGGTTTCGCCAGGAGGCGAGCCGGCGAGCATCATGAGCCCTCGGGCGCCCGCAACCGGCGCCGGCGCATCATGAGCATCAGCGGGGTCCGGCGGACGGGGGGTGCGGGCTACATGCAACGGGGGCTGAGAGCCTACGATCACCCACAAGTTGCGCACTTCGGGCCTACGTTGCACTTATCTATATACCGCGCGTTTCTGACAACAGCTCGCGCTGCCCGCACCTGGGCGCAGCCCCTAAATAGTCAAACATTCAATTGTTTCGATTCTTTTTTCTGGTTTTCGGGTTCAAGTCACTGTTGCATGCGCGACACACAAAACTACAGCACAGGCTAAGCCCTAAGCCCTAGACCCGATGCGAGAGTACAAGAACAGCATGCGCCCCAAGCGGACACCACTTGTCAAAACTGCAAGCTTTCAAGTCTGGCAACGTTAACCGGCAATCTTGCAACCCCCCTGGACGACCAACATTTCAAGATTACCAAGATTGTGGACTATCTTGCCCCCCCCAGCTAGATGGGCAAATTTGGCAAGATGGGAAAGATTTACCAAGTTTGCAAGTTGACCAACTTTGGTGCAAGACTAATCGGCTGCAGATTCCCGACGCAAAGAAGTAGTAGTAGTAGCAGCAGCAGTAGTAGTAGCAGTAGTAGTAGTAGTAGCAGTAGCAGTAGCAGTAGTAGTTGTAGTAGTAGTAGTAGTAGGAGTAGGAGTAGGAGTAGGAGTAGTAGTAGTAGTAGTAGTAGTAGTAGTAGTAGTAGTAGTAGTAGCAGTAGTAGTTGTAGTAGTTGTAGTAGTAGTAGTAGTAGTAGTATATAGTAGTAGTAGTAGTAGTAGTAGTAGTAGTAGTAGTAGTAGTAGTAGTAGTAGTAGGAGTAGGAGTAGGAGTAGGAGTAGGAGTAGGAGTAGCAGTAGCAGTAGCAGGAGTAGTAGCAGTGGTAGTAGCAGTGGTAGTAGTAGTAGTAGTAGTAGTAGTAGTAGTAGTAGTAGTAGGAGTAGTAGTAGTAGAAGTAGTAGCAGGAGGAGTATTGGCAATCTGTCAGAGTGGTTCCAAGCCACGCTTCCAAACATCGGACACATTGCGCAGCCGCGGATGAGTTCGATTAGCTGCTCAGCTTTGCTGGCTTTGCTACGAAACTCGGCTCGGATATCTCAATTTAACCCCCCTCTCTCAAGAAACAAGAATCCGTGTACCGTTCAATTTTACCCCACGGCCCCCAACATTTTCGGACCCTGGTCTGCCTCCCTGCTGAAAGCAACACTGATTTAACTCGAGCGATGCTACGGGGGCTTTCGTGATCATCGACAACAGGAAGCCACCAACGCAGAACAGAGCATATCTCCGCCCGTTGATGGTGTCCTGCACTATGATTGTTTCCGAAAACACGAAGCAAGTTTTTCAAAAGAGCGCAAACTGCCTACAAAAAGAAGATCTTGTGGCTGAACGATCTCTCTGCGTTGAGAGGACAAGGCTGGCCTTTGCGAAGGTGATTGCTATTCCTTCAGCACACAACCCCCGGCTACTCGAAAGACCGTGCAAGACCTTGCATCGCGAGACCCTGAAATCCTGATAGAGGGTCAGATCAAGGGGGAGAGTATTTGAGTTGGCTGCGACGCACTACGGGTCAAGCGTGCCTCATGCTCCTGCATGGGATCTCCGAGGGATGTCAGCATCTCCTCCCATGTGCAAACATGCTCAGGATACTAAGTGGGCCCAGACCCTGACTGCAGAAGTCTCACGCAAGCTAGCAGACTCAACATGCAACGTGACCAGGGCTTGCTTGTTATGTGCGGCCAGCCTTGAACTTCTCACGGCTCATGATGCCAGTGTCCTCCAAGTCGAAAACCTTGAAGGATGATTCCAAAGAAACGAAGCCACACTCCCGCGTACATGCCAGGTCTTTCCAAACGCTCTCTGATGACACCTGTCTCCGTGGAAGTTCCCTCCCAACTGAGGCACCCTCCCTTCCGACCCCATTGGCCCACCCTCCCGTGCTCCCCGGCCACATTCGTCTTGTGCACTCTGAACCTGCTAACTGAGCCGTGATGTGGAGACTAATCTTCACCTGCAGCTGGGCCGAGGCGGACGATGCGAAGCGTTCACAAGCAGGTCTAGACTGCATGCTGCTATCCGTGGCGCACCTGGAATGCCTTCAGAAGTGTGTCTTCGGTCGTTGGCGTCCTCATGTCAGATGCTGGCGCTTCTCACAGGCTGCCTGTATCGTCAGAGCGTCCACGAGCCTGTAGTTGCCTTTGAAGAACCGGATGAATCCATCCACCTCAAACACAAGAAGCCCAAGTCGCCGGATCAGACAAGGGTCTTACTGTCTTACTTGTAGGTCAGGCAAAGGCTTCTCGAAATGCACGATGGCTCGGAAAGCATTGTCCAAGAAAGATGGTCGTCTAAGTTTCATTCAGAGCATGTTTGCCTTTCTTGTCCGAGGCGCATCCAAGCCCACCTGTGGAACTGGTCTGAGCATCTCCGCTAGCTCCTCCAAAAGCAAAATGACTGAGAAGGCTTGCCGCACAGAGAGACACGAGTGGACACGAGCATCGACCAAGCGACCTTGGATTTATCAGACAAAGCAAAAGTTGATGCAGTCCTCGTCTGTGGGGTTTTGCCCGAATGCTCGGAAAAGAATTCCCACCTGTGAGGCTGTCACTGCCAGTCAAACTCTGTATCTATCAAAGCGAGATTTTACAAGCTAATTGCTTTCTCAGGCCTGCTGCGGATTGAGCCGTCCTCACATGGTACAGGACGCAGCTGTGACTAAGCAGCTCCGAATGGAAACTTGTGCGACAACGGGCTGATCACGTGGCCTGTCTTGCTTTGATCGAGCAGTTTAAAGTTGTCGACGACTTTTTCATACTGATCCTGACATGCAAACCACTTCCATAGCTGCAGAGCCATGCTCACAGTTTGGAGGAGTGCGCTTTGTACAGACACTGCCTGTGAGAGCTCAGCCTCTGGGTCGTCCAACTTGATTTCAAAGCCGGCGCCTGCCGGCAGCGGAGGGGGCCGCGCTACAAACTGACGCACTTCTGAGATCTTCTGGGCTGACTCGTTGCAGCTCCTACTGATTCTCACCATCTCTCCCTCGATCCACTCTGGCTCACCAGCCATCGCAGAGCCGCGGCGAGTTTCACCTTCGCAAGAAATCTCCACTGATCTGCAGGAATTGCGTTCCAAGACTCTGCCGCGCAGGGAAGCTTATGGTGTATATCAGAGCTGTGCCTGCGGACCATCTGGACACAAACGAATGCGAATTCTATTCCGAGATACACCGAGCCAAAGCGTGGGACGTGTCAAGCTTGTGCAGGCATGGTTCTGGACCCGTTCCGAGGCTTCCTGAGGCAAAACTTCTTCACCGCTGGCAGCTTCACAGGTCCTGTGCTTTCTGCAGTACAAGCAGAACCACCCACAAACTTGCGCAGGGGGATGCAACTCTCGCAGAGCAACAGCAGCGACGATGTCTTCGCCAATGGTTTTGTCTGAGTACGCAATGACCGTCGTTCTAAAACGGATGAAACAGCTACATTCCAAGACCGACAGGGGCTTCAGTCACGCTCTGTGCCTGGGGTGCGGATGGATGGTCGTTTATGCATGTTTATGCATCATGCTGAAGCCACTTGCGGCTCAGAGAACGTGAACATCTTCCAAGGCTATGCCTGCAGATCAGAGGCAGATGGGCTCAAGCTGCAACTTCGACTGTGGTCTCTGCCCTTGTGTCCTTGTGTGACATTCTGCCCACTCTTCGGGAACAGCTTGAACACGCTGGCCTCGCCAACGACAATGCCATCGTCCACCAGCTCCTGGCACCACTGAGATGCTTGCTTTTAGACCCCTCTCGTCACGGTCATCCTTCTCGCTGGTACGTGAAGTGTCGCTTGTGCAAGATCTCGTACAGGCATCGCGCTGTCGGCAGTGTCTGCAGTCCTGGATGTAGGGCGGCAGCTGTGGAGCTGCACGAGAGTCCTCCGTTGTGCAAATCTTCGGGGAAGAAAAAACTGCCGTGCTGGCACGTGCTGGCTGCATGAACTTGCGGGCAATAGTGCAAAGCACCTAGGCGCTCTGAATCAATGTACACGCAAGCTAAGGCAAGCTGCACAGGCCTGGAACCACGGATGTTCTAACGCCGCGGAGGCGGTAGGTCTCTGGTTTTCTTGGTACCTGAACTGATCGCAGCGAAACATGTCGGCGCGGACGATTACGCAGCTCATTCATCAGGCTGCAAGCTCTGCAAAGCAAAATCTTACATGAAACACATCAGGATTCTGAGGTTCTTGCGCAAGCATGCGCATGACCTCATCAGCTGGACAGAGCTGACACACCATTGCTGGACTCCAGGTGATTCTGCATACTGCATACTTTCTTAACACAATTTCATGCGCATGGCGCCGCTTGGGAGTACTTTGCCAGATCGAGCTGAGGCATCATCCAAATTCACACTTCCGGTTCCACTCCGGGATGCTGACTAAAGCCCACAAGGCAAAACTACAACGTTGTCAGCAACCGTGACACGTGACCTCAAGTCTCGACACAGCTGAGGATGCTACGAGGTCACCAGCTTCGCTGTTTTCTTGGAAAACCTCTTTGGAGAAGTCCACCTGAGCGCAACTTCGGATCTGAGCACTACGCAGTCCATGCAAGCACGCACAACGGGCCTTGGCCACTTTCAGCCTTCGCCGAATTTGGGCCATCTTTGGGCTGCCGACCCAGTTCTCGCCAGCCTGCTCCGGCTTCACATTGCGACACAGTGTGACTCAATGTAGAAGGCAAGACAGTCGACTCTTGGATTGCAGGTCTTGAGGATGGAGTGCCTCATCATCGAACATATCGTCGTGAAACGGAAACTTTCCTGGCAACGGCCGAGTTCCAACCCGAAGCACAGCAAGAATCAGCATGAGAGGCAAGGACAGATGCAGTGCAGACATGATGCGGACATGCCATGAGTGCCGTGTGAGGACGTCCCAGAAGTGTTGCTGATTCTGCGGTCACTGTGCTCGCCCCCTTGACTCAGCCAGTCCTGTCAGTAGTCTGTACAGAATCACCCCGCAGGCGAAGATATCCGACAGGGGGGAGTACCTGGCAGCAGCGTCGCTGACGAGAAAGCTGGACTTGTGCTCGAGTTTCAACAATGAAGTTCAACTACTCTCCCGTGGTGTGCATCTGCATGCACAGGTCCAGGTGCATTTCGCATGAATCGGCTCGCTCGATACAACAAGACCGGCGCACTTGCCGGCATAGGCTTCCTTGGCATTTTCAATTGCAAAGCGAAAGGCTCTGTCCGGCCAAAATGCGTTCGGGGACGTAGTCTTGTTCCTGATGCTTCAGTGATTCAGGATTGTGCAGGAGGCGCAGCCATGCTTCAGAAGCACCATGCTGTGCAGGTCAGGTTTGCGTGACAGAATGCTGAGCCAAGCGCCTGGGATATGTATTGGTCGGTGCCAACCACATCCTGCCACAACCCCGCGGGCCCCGCAACGCTGCTCAAGGGTAACGATGCAGCCCAGACATGGAGCCCAAACTCTTGCGCCCTGGTGCCTTGGCTGAGGCATTTGAGGGACACCATGATTCCAGGGTATCAAAGTCGATCACCTCGAGCAACGATCCAGAACGAGAGGCTTGTTGACGTTGGGTCGTGCGCTGAAAAAGGTGAAAACGTGCTACAGCAACTGGTGGAACTACGTGAGCTAAAGCATCGCGCACTGTCACCCAGAGCGGCCTTCACCGCTTGCGCGGGTAAGCTTGACCTCCGCGGGGCCAAACGAAATCATGCCGAACAAGCTGAGACGGAGACTGCAGCCCGGCTGGTTACCGCATGTCGAGCGAAAAGCTACTGGCCAACACCTGGGGTCCAAACTTCGAAGATTTGCCTTCGCCGCCAGCATCGAGCATTACGTTCTCCAACTTTAAATCCTGCATCTCTGTGGACTCTTAGCACCGGCCCAAAAGCTGCGCTGCAGTTTCAGGGTTGCAAGATCAAATCCTGCCTTATGCACAGCACCGTGCGAATGCAAAAACACCAACGACCTGGCAAGGAGCGCACGGACTTACCAGTGATTTAAAGCTGGAGGAAGTAGCATACGTGCGAACGGGGATAATTTCCGAAGCATGTCCACAGCCGCCAGCCGTGTGTGGTGGGTACACGCAGCCGCGGAGGTTTCAAATTTAGACGACAACACGTGCAAAGGTGGACTCCAACAGCTGACGCATAATCTCCCGGGTAGTGGCCACCTGAGCTGGCAGAAACTGAAAAGACGGTTCCTTAGCAGCTGTGAAGTCGGTGCATCTCTCTCTTGATACACAATACTATTGACAAGGGCGGTTTGGGCGGAGGAACAATATAACCTCAGTGCGAGTTTCTTACAACCTTACAACCACAATCATGCCGAGAAAGTATTTTCGAGGGCATAAAAGCAAAATGTTTTCGGACCAAAGCACGGGAATCTTCCGCATCTGCTCGAGAGTCTCGAAAAGGTCAAGACCACCAACCTGCATGCCAAGTGTCAGCTTGCAACATTTACTGCGGCTTCTTTCGGAAAGCCGCTCTGCACTTGCCGCCGACAGCGCGTTACAAAGCCTTGTGCACTTTTTCCACATCAAACGCGCTCCATGCGGAGATATGCACAAATATCGACAAGTCAACATTAAAGGCGAGCTGTGCCCTTCCAGTCACGTATTGCGACCTCGAATGAAGAGCGACAGCACCGCGTGCTGTCAGAAGCCCGTGGCAAGCAAGATGGGAGACAGAGCGACTTTGCAAAGGCCAGGGCCACAAAGGAGCCCCAAGGCAGAATCTACCTTCGACCAGGGCGCTTCGGTGCACACTCCATTCCGAAATATAAAGCGCCCGTAGCATCTTACCCGGACGAAACCCTTGCTATGTCTCCGTCATCCGAGTCGCTCGTGGTTCGCGAAATTTGCCCGGCAAAGCGGGCAAGTGGCCTCGCGGCTGCTTGGCTACAACGTTGTAGAGAACAGGAGATATGCTCAATGGCCCCCCAGAAACAGCCAACCAGTGCAGACCAGGCTCTGACATCGCGTGTCCTGACATTGACCACATCACGATGCAGTCCTGGCCACATGGGTTGTTCAACAGTGTATTTTGCCCGGTGCTTATTGCCGATACGGCATGTGATGTCCACATCGAAAGGCGCAGGGACGTGAGCCGAATGACACAGAGTGGAGATCGGGTCGACCCATTTTCGAAACTCATCCCCTTTTCCTCACATTGCGATGTCATGATCAAAGACACATGACTACCCCTACATACACATATACGTATACGTATACATATACATACACATATACATATACAATATACAATGGGACACCGAATTTTTTCTTATGCTATACCCCGCTTTTTCTTATGCTGGACCCGTGGCCGGTTGGGCTTTTATGCTACACCTGCTTTTTCTTATGCTTGACCGGGGTTTTCTTTATGCTGTGACTCCTTCCTTTATGCTGACCTAGGCTTCTTTTTATGCTCCCTGGAGGAGGGGGGCTGCCTAGCCTTTCCTTTCACAAACCCAGCTCGTTAGGTAGTAGTATCGTAAGCAGCAGCAGTGGCAGCAGTGTCATCGTCATCGTTCAGGGGTTAGGGTAGCAGCAGCAGCGTCGTCGTCACTTAGGAATAGTAACAACAACACCCGTAGCGGCCGAGACCCTGAGCTCTTGCGGCCGAGGTTTCGAGGCGGAGGGTTGTTTTCCCTAAGTCTGGCGCGCTTTCCCAAGCTGGCTCGCTCGTTTTGCTTGTGATTTGCATCAACCTATTGGGGAATCCGCCGAGGCCAAAGGCCCAGGCGTTTTGGTGGTTACCTGAGGTACCCCCCTCCCCCCCCCCCCTCACCCCCTCCCCCCCCCCCTCCACCCCCCTTGTACCCGTTCTCCTCGCACTTCGTATCAACAACCGTCTAAAGGTTGGGGTTTGACAGGCCGCCCTAGCATAAAAAAACATCGACTGCCCCCTCGCCCTGCCGCTATACAGCCGAGGCGGGCGGCGTAGCGTTAAAATTACCATTTGCAGGGTCTTGGTTTGCGTGTGTTTTGCATCAAGTTATTGGGGAATTACCCATTTGCAGGGTCTTGTCTTTTGCATCATGCTTGTGTTTTGCATCAAGCTATTGGGGATTTACCATTTGCAGGGTCTTGGCTTACGTGTGCTTTCTTGGCTTGCGTGTGCTTTGCATCAAGCTATTGGGGAATGTCTTGTCTTGCTTGTGTTTTGCATCAAGCTATTGGGGAATTACCATTTGCAGGGTCTTGGCTTGCTTGTGTTTTGCATCAAACTATTGGGGATTTACCATTTGCAGCGTCTTGTTTTGCTTGTGTTTTGCATCAAGCCATTGGGGAACTACCATTTGCAGGGTCTTGTTTTGCTTGTGTTTCGCATCAAGCTATTGAGGAACGACCATTTGCAGGGTCTGGTTTCGCAATTTCGAAGCTCCTGTCTTGTGTCGTTTTGTGGGGAGGGAGGGGGCAAGAGGGGAGTGGTGGGGTGGGGTGGTGGGGTGTGCCCTCCCCCCACACGCGCAGTGGTGAGAAACTGCGCGCTGTGTGGGGGCTGGAGGGGGGAGGGGTCGGGTGGGGCTGCGGGAGGGGTGGGGTGGGGATGTGGTGTGGGTGGGTGGGGGCGGTTGTTGGTGTAGGTCAGTGTCGGCCTTGTCCATGGTTTTTTTCGAGCAACAGGGTTTAGCCGGGTCCAAAGAGGGGAAAGTCGACAGGGCGGGCTTGTCTCCTGCTATTGGAACGAACTTCCACATATGGGAGTTTCCGAAAATTGGGGGTACCTCCTTTGGGGGTCCTTATGATAGGGACCCTACTAATTATTTGGTGTCTTTTAAGGGATTTGGCATTATTTTTATGCTGAAGGTTTCCGCGCTTAAAAGCGAACTTCGGTAGCGAAAAACCGTCCTCAAAGTATTTTCGAAAAATCATCCATACTTGCCATAGCTTTGCAAAACCTAGGTTTTCGTTGTGGAAGCAGAACCCCGGCAATCCACACGCAAACCGGGGGGGGGGGGGGGTGCAGCATATAAAAAGTCAGGCTCGCCCAAATGGGCAATGGAGCCCAGCCCCTCGCCCCCCTCCATCTGGCCCATGGAGAATAAGGGGGAGCGGGGGGGGCAGCATAAGAAAAAGTCAGATTGGAATTTTGCTGACACCAGTCTCAAGCATAAAATGGAAAGGGGTAGGCGCAATATACATATACACAGACAAATACAGAGACATATACATACTAATACACACATACAGATAAAGATACAAATACATATACATACACATATACATATGCATTTGCATATACGTATGCGTATACGTATATCTCAGTTATACCTATACCTATATACTATATACATATATATATATATGTATATATATATATATGTATATATATATATGTATATGTATATGTCAGCTACTACGATCGCACACGCTCGGTACCCTCGCTGAACAGCCAAAGGTAACGGTCCCTTTTCTGTGCGACCGCAACGTGGGAGTCGGCCACAAGTCCGATCACCAAAACTTCACTCGATCTTCACAAGTCCGATCGGAACCCCGATCAGCGGGGGTGCGCCATGGCATTCACCACGGACCGCAACATCATTCCGATCGGACACATCAGACGAGCGATATTCCCCGCGAACAAAATCAAAAGTCTTCGATCGGATCGCCGCTTTGCGGCGAAGGCTCCTCGATGGGATCGTCATCGAGCGGAGCTGCACCGAGCAAATCGATGAGCTGTCTCTCAGCGGCTCGGAAAGCAGCGTCCGGAGTCGCCCTGGCCTTTGCACGGCGAGCACCCGCTTTGTTCGAATTGTAAGCAGCGATCTGCGCTGGAGTCGGCGGGGCTTTCAGAGCTGGATCCAACGGCCGGCCCGCATATGGAGCCATTAAAGGCGCTCTGAGCACACCTTGGTGGGGGCGAGCATTGGTGCCCTCCGGAACCAAATAGTAAATCGGCTGATCCAGGTTGATGGGTGGATCCGCCCCAACATCCAACCCAGCAGAGCAGGCTGGTGCCGATCCCGGTCCCGATGAGCAGGTGGCGTCACCCGAGGGATCCCGCGACAGAAATGGCACATGTCGAACCTGCGATCGCAAGCCGTGCAAAGAGGAGTGAGCTGATTCGGCGCCCAGTCTTCGCGCGGCATGCGAACGGCCGCGTAACATTCTTCGCCGCCACCGTCGCAAAAGCAGCCGGTGAACAGGCCGCAATCCACGCACGGACGACAGAGCTGGTCGTGAGTGCCGTAAGCGAGCGCTTGCAGGCCCACTCGATTTTGAGCGTCACGGAGAGGATCCCCCATACCGAAAATACGAAAGAGTGGAGAGGGCGGGAATTTTTGGGTATGGCCGATCGGCTGTCGCCAAAATGGCCACGGAAAACATATGATCATGTCTGTTCGAACGATCGCGAAACTGATCTCCTAATTCCTACTCACCAGACCGATAATTAGGAGACCAGTTACTACGATCGCACACGCTCGGTACCCTCGCTGAACAGCCAAAGGTAACGGTCCCTTTTCTGTGCGACCGCAACGTGGGAGTCGGCCACAAGTCCGATCATCAAAACTTCACTCGATCTTCACAAGTCCGATCGGAACCCCGATCACCGGGGGTGCACCATGGCATTCACCACGGACCGCAACATCATTCTTAGGAAAGTCCGAGGGGACGGTGATCCATCCGCAGAGCAGACCTGAAGCCACATCACCACGAGAAGGGTAATTATCGGCTGGGTTCGCATCGGTCGGTACTCGATCGATGTATATACTGAGCTTCTAAGCTCAAGAACAAGCTCCCAGAAGATTCCTACGAGCTCGCAAACGTCCTCTTAAGCAGAGTAGCCTTTGATCAAAGCTGCCTCTACTGGCTCAGAGTCTTTCAAGAGTCAAGAGCAGCACCAGCTTTCCACGGATCTCTTCCCTGAAAGTCTGGATCGCGGCGACCGCAGCTAGAAGTTCGATCATGCAAATCTGTGTCTTTGTCGGGAACCATCTCGACATGATCTGTCGCGACACTCCCGAGGCGAATTGCCTAGGAGGGTTATCATTTAGTGAACATGACTCCCCCAATCATCTCAGAAGTCGGATCTTTAGGATTCGAGCTCGGCGCCGAACCATCTGTGAAGATCACGACGTCAGACCTCCGCGGCCCCGAGCTGGGCATCACGAGCGTCCGCCATTTGTAGAGGGAATAGAGGCCGGCGAAAGGCTCGTGCTCGTCGTCTTCCTGGAGTCCTGCCGATCGGACAAAGCCTTCAAGAAAGCCCGGCCGATCTTGCCCCAGAGCTGAGAAGCGCCGAACATGAGCTTCCCTCTGAGCTTCCTCGCTTGACCCGGCGACAACTCCTCGTGCTCCAAGATAGACGAGATCTCGTCAAAGAGCTCCTGCTTCCTCGACTTCTTGATCTTGAGCAAGTACTGATCGAGGTCGTAGGTCACACCCAGGATCGTGGGGTCGGAACATAGTTGAAGCTTCTGTTGATCAAACCGCGCGCCACCAGTGCACCTTTTCTGCCAACACGAACGCGCTGTCCGCCGTGTCTTCCGGCTCGAAGCCGTACTTGTCGTCGTAGAAGTTGAACCCAGCCACGACGAACACGCGCCTTAGGATATCGGTAATCGCAGCCGAGCGGCGATTGTAGTTGTAGACGGCCGAGACCAGACCGAAGGAGTGCCCACCATCACGAAGAAAGCCACTTTCCCTGTAGCCGGTTCCTTCAGAGCGACTACGCTCCACTTCCGGTGGGCCGGAGAGATCGGGACTTGCCGATAGGCCCGCCCGCCGCTCATCCAGTACCCAGCCACACAGCGGTGTCTTCGGCAGCTGCGCTCGCAGCCACTTGATCACCGCCACGTTCGCGTCCGTGGAGGGGAGCTCGAGCTTCTCCGTGACGATCGTGGCCATGTTGATCCCATGGAGGTGGCGCTGTCCACTCCCCGAACTTTATTCTTTTGAACGACTTCGAATCTCTGTGTGGGGATCCAACGATCGTCACCCACAAACTTGGAGACCTCGGCCTCGTCAAAGAAAGGACCAACAGCGGCCTTCCTCAACATCCTCCATGGT